TGTGTGCACTCAGCCTCTGTTGGCAATCATGCATGTGCCTTTGGCCTCGGACAACACCTCTGTGCGCCTCCTTGCCTTTTGCCACCTCTTGTGCGAGAGCCATTGGCCTTGGTCGACACCCATGTGTGTTCCCTTGGTCTCCATGGACAGTACATGCATGCTCTCAGCCTCCACTGAAACTTGCACTCATAATCTCGGCCTCATGTGACCTTGGCCTCAGCAGACAACCATGTGTGCACCCTCATCCTCTGCCAACACTTGCATGTGGACACTCAGCCTTAGCTGTCTCCCATGCATGGACACTTGGCCTCTGCAAACTCTCACATATATGCCCTCAACCTTGGCTGACATGCACACACATATCTATGGCCTCTTCCAACACTGACATGTGTGATCTTACCCTCTGCTGACATCCTCATGCATACCCTCTAGCATGCATGCCCTGTCCTGTAGCCAACACATATGTGCATACCTTCATCCTCCACTGACATTCGCATACGCATCCTCAGCCTGGTGTACTATCACTCAGTGACATCCACGTGTGTACTGTTGGCCTCTGCCTACTCTCAAGCGTGCTCCCTCTGTTTCAGCCGATATCTGCCAGTGCTTATTGGCCTCTGCCGATACCAGAATGTGCCCTCTGCCTCTGCCAACACTCCTGCACGCACTCTCAACAGTGGTTGACACCCGCACCCTCCATTACTGCCAACACACGTGTGTGCCCTCACCCTCTGCTGACACTTGCGTGTGCACCCTCAGCTACCACGGTGACCTGCATGCGAGTCCTTGGCCTCCACCGATACTCATGCATGTGCCCTCAGCCTCCACTGACTCTCATGCATGTGTCCTTGGACTTGGACGACATGGGTGAATGTACCCTTGCCCACCACTCACTATTGCACACTTGCCCTTGGCCTCTGGCAGCATCCACTTGTGCACCCTGGGCCTTGGAAGACACCCATGTGAATCCCCTTCGACTTAATCAACTCTCTTGTGCATATCATTGGCCTCAGTTGACACTTGCACACACACCCTAAAGCCCCTCTGATACCTGTGTTTGTGCCCCCAACCTCAGCCAGCACCTGCGCTCTAGACCTTGGCCTCTGCCAGCATTCACATGTGCATCTTTGGCCTCAGATGACACTTGCACTTTGCACCCTCAGTCTCAGACAACATCTGCTCATGTGACTTTAGCCTTTGATGACACTCAGACTCATGTCCTCGGCCTTGGCTGACGCATACACCGGTGCCCTCAGCCTTGGCCAACACTCGTGCATGTGCCCTCAGCCTCCGCTGGCACCCATGTGCATGACCTTGGCCTTGGTTGAAACCTGTTTGTGGCCTCGAACTGTGCCAGCACTCACGTGCACTCCTTCTGTCTCAGACGACACCCATGTGCATGCTTTAGTGTTTCACCACCTCTCACACGATTGCCCTCAGCCTTGGCTGACACTTGCACATGTGCCCTCAGCCTCCACTGAAACTTGCACATGTGCCCTTGGTTTCCACCGTCACTTATACTTGTGCCCTTGGCCTTGAATGACACCCATGCACCCTGTCTTGGCCTTCACTGACACTCATGTGTGGGCACTCAGCCTCAGATGACACCCTTATGCACTCCCTTGGCCTCCATCAACATTCCTGCACACACCCTCGGTCTTGGATGACACCAGTGCATGTGTTCTTAGCCTTGGAGCATACCAGCACACTTGCCCTCGGCCTCTGGTGACATTCACGTGCATGCCTTCTGCCTTGGCCAACATGGATGTGTGCTTCCCTTGTCCACCAACACTCACGCGTGCACCTTCAGTCTTGGCCAAAAACACTAAGTGTGCTGTAGGCCTCCGCCAACAATCACAGGAGAAGCCTCAGCCTTGGCTGACACTCATATGCATTACCTTGGCCTATGCTGACACTCGTACATGCACACTCAACCTCAACCAACACCTTTGTGCATGTCTTTGGCATCCACTTACTCTCATGTGTGCATACGTACTTGGCCTTGGTCAACACTCATATGTGTACCATCAACTTCCACTGACACATGAGCACTATCCGCCTTGGACGACACCCTTGTATGATTCCTTGGCCTCCACAGACACACACATGTGTGCCCTTGGCCTTGGATGACACTGAGGCGCACTCCTTTGGCCTTCATCAACACTCATGTGTGTGCCCTAGTCCTCGGCCCACACTTGTATTGTGTGCCCACAGCCTCAGATGACACCTGAGCTTGTACCCTTGACCTTTGTCGACACTTGTGAGAGTGCCCTTGGCCTCAGCTGACACTTGCACAGGCACCCTCAGCCTCCTCTGACACATGCATGCATGCCCTCAGTTTCAGCCAACACCTGTGTGTACACCATTGACCTCTGCCAGCACACGTGCATGCATCATCTACCTCAGAGAACATCCATGAGTCCTCATATTTCAGCTTTTGCACGAGCACCCTCGGCCTCAACCAACGCCCATGCACACATCCCCACTGTCCACTGACACCCACGAGTGCACCCCTGGCCTTAGTCAACAACCGTCCATGCTCCCTCAGCCCTGCTGACACTCAGGAACATGTCATCAGTCACCACTGAAACTTGCACATATGCCCTCCACCTTAACCATCACTTACATGTGCTCCTTTGGCCTCAGATGACAGTTGTCCATGTTCTCTTTGCCACTCTTAACACTCACATGCATGCCTTTGGACTTGAATGACGCAAGTACACATACCCTTGACCTCGGCTGATACTCTTACGTGCAACTTAGTCCTCCACTGACACATGCACATGCATCCTGGCCTCAGTTGTCTTCCACACTTGCACTCTTGACCTCTCAGACATCTGTGTGTGTGCACTCAACCTCGACCGACACTCATGCACATGCCCTCTGCCTCAGCCAAAACCCACACACTTGCTCTCAGTGTCTGCTGACACTTGGGCACACTCCCTCAGCCTCAGACAACACAGGCACACTCAGCCTCAGCTTCAGGTGACACTCACACGCATGACCTTGGCCTTCCTTGACACTAGCTTGCATGTCCTTGGTCTCCTCTAACACCTGTGTGCATGCCTTCAGCCTCCACTGAATCCATGTGTATGCTATTGGCCTCAGCTGACACCCTTGCGCGTGCACTTGGCCTCCACCAACAGTCATGTGTGTGCCCTCACCCTCAGAGGACACCTGCACATGCAACCTTGGGCTCTGCTAACACTCATGTATGCACACTTGGCCTCAGATTACACCTGTGGACACTACCTCAACCTCTGTCAACACTCACATGCATGCCCTCAGCCTCAGCCAACACTTGTGCCCTCAGCCTCAGACAACACCCACATGTGTGACTTTGGCCTCAACCAACATGCATGCCTGCTCTCTTTGTCATAGACTACACTTTTGCACGAAAAGTGCTGACAGTCATGTGCATGCCCACAGCCTCTGCTTACACCCATGTGCACACCCTCAACCACAGCCAACACCTGCACATGAGCCCTCAGCCTTTGCCAACACTTGCAAGTGCCTTCAACCTTGGATGACACTTTTGCTTTGTGTCCACTGACGACACTTGCAGGAGCGCCCTTGACCTCTGATGGCACTCGTGCATGTGCACTCGGCCTTGGCTGATACTCGCACGTGTGCCCTTGGTTTCAGCTGACACTTGCACTTGTACTCTTGGCCTCCTTCAAAACCCTTGAGTACACCCTCATATTCAGCTGACACTCACACGTGTGCCCTCAGTCTCCACTGACACCATGCATGCACCCTTGAACTCTGCCAACAACTGCGTGTGAGCCCTCAGCCTCTGCTGACACCTGTGTGTGCACCTTCGATCTCAGACAACGCCTTTGCTTTGTGCCTTCAGCCTTGGAGAACACCTGTGTGAATGCCCTTGGTCTCTGACAACACTAGCGTGCATGCCCTTGGCCTCAGCTTACACCTGCATGTGCACTCAGCCTTGGCTGACACCTGCAAGTGTGCCCTCAGTCTCCTCAACACGTGTGCATGACCTCAGATTTGGCTGACATTCCCACGTGCACCGTCGGCCACTGCTGACACCCATGTGCACGCACTCGGCTTTGACCAACACTTGCACATGCACCCTCGGCCTCCTTCGACACCTGTGCATGCATCCTTGGTCTCAGTTGACACTCATGTGCACACCCACTGTCTTGACCAACACTCATGCACATGCCCTCAGCCTCCACTGACACCCATGCATAAACCTTCGGTCTCGGCCAACCCCCACACAAGGCCTCAGCTTTTGCTGACACTCATGTACATGACTTCAGCCTCAGATGACACTTGCTTTTTGTGCCCTCAGCCTCAGATGACACCTGTGCAGGTGCCCTTGGCCTCCGATGACACTTGTGTGCATGCCCTCAGCCTCAGGCAACACTCATGTGTGCACCCTTGGTTTCAGCCAACACTCATGCATGCGCCAGCATGTGTGCATTCAGCCTTAGCTGACACCCGCGCACACACCCTCAGCCTCCTTCAAAACCCATTTGCGCACCCTCAGCTACTTCCGACTTTTGCACTCATGTCCTTGGCCTCAACCAACACCCATGCCTTTGGCCTTGGCTGACACTCACACACGCACCCTCAGCTTCTGCTGACACCCATGCATGCACTCTTGTCCTAGGCTGAAATCCTCGCATGAGCCCTCACATCTGCTAACACTCATGCCTGTGTCTTCAGCCTTGGTCGACACTCTTTTATGTGCCCTTGGCCACAGTCAACACTTGTGTGTGTGCCTTCAGCCATGGTTGACACATGAGCAAACACCTTCTGACACAAGTGTGCACTCACATTCACACCTGCCCTTAGCCTCTACCAGCACTCACATGTGCCTTTTGGGCTTTGGATGACACCCACGTGTGCCCTTCATTCCCTCACCACCTCTTGCATGAGTGCCTTCAGTCTCAGCTGAAAACCACGTACATACACTTGGCCTCTGCCAACACCCACATGTATGGCCAAGACCTCTATGGACACTCGAAAAAAAACATGTTTGTTATTACCAAAAAGAGATGTCTTTAGGTAAAAATAATAAAAATCCCATGCTGCATAGATAATGCAGATAGTTCTAGTTATCTGGTCAACGGGCAAAAAACAAGCAGTTAAGGTCTTCAGCTCCAATCTTTTGTTCGTTTCTTATTGCTGGAATTTCATATTCATTTCTTCTTGTTGGATGACTAAACCGGATGATGGTCGAGATGGTAAGCCAGCATTTACTCAGCCCCACCCTGCTCAGCCTCGGGAGCAGACGAATTCTCAGCTGGTGGATCGGCTGCTTTCATCTCTTTGCCATCTTGGGGTTTAGGGTTTTCTGGGAGTCTGCATCAGTAATTGAAGTTGCGGCAGTACCGAAGTTGAGGTGGCTGCTGACCTTGGGTATCATCTCCTTGATTTTCTTATCCTCTTCACTGCCATCCTCTCTAGGCTGTCTTTGGTGAGGAGGGCCCCTACGGAATCATGGTCTGTAACCCTGATACATATTCTGCCTCACTGGTCTACCTTGTTCTCTGGCACCCTGGTTGTCAGCACCCTTCATCACTTCTCCTTGCACAGGAGGGTTGGAATACTGTGGTCAACACCCATAGAGCCTCCGCATGTAGTAAGGTGGGAACAATCGCCTGCAGTAGGGCCTGTGTTGTTGGGCCTGGCCTTCAGGAGCACTCTCCAATCCCTCATTCTTTTCCCCACTCTCACTATTCTGGTAATTCTGCTTGTAAATAAGGCATTTGTCTACATGTCAGCTCACTTAATCCTCATAACAATCCAATGAACCCCATTTTACCAATGGGGAAGTTGATGCCTAGGCAAGTCACACAGTTGGTAAGAAACAAAACTGGGAATCTAACTGGCAGTCTGGCTCAAGAGTGAACACCAGGCGAGCCGTGCTCCTCCCAACACTGAGGCACGGCCAGGACAGGCTGTATACAGAACCTGCCAGAGAGAAAGGGAAACCATGGCTTGGAGATAATCACCAAGCCTGGGGTAGGTTCAAAGAGCAGGACAAACGTGGAGCCTGTGTAGACCTTGCTTCCCCAACTAGATGTGAGGGACCTTGAGAAGGTGATGGGAGCCCCATAGTCTGCTGAGCCCTGAGAAGATGATGGGAACCCAGGTCCTGCTGCAGCAGTGAAGAGGTGGAGGTCCCTGAGAGAAGCCTCCACTTACTGGACCTCCAACTGAGGCAACTGGACACCTGGAGGAACAAACAATGGGGGTTCCATGTGCCGAGAGCTCTCTTGGCGTCTCTGGCCTCTCTGAGCCTCTGCTCCCCCAGGGCCCTGACACACTTGGTTCCCTGGCCTTGTCTTTTCCTCCCTACCCACCATGTCTGGCTCCATGCCCTCCTTCTGCTCCTTCTGCTCCATCACTGGAGCTTCACTTTCCTGGGTGTGGCTCTCAGTCCCAGGTGAAGTCAGCTTCTCCTGGAGTCAATTATCAGGATGTAGCTATTTCATGTCATGTCATGTCATCTCATCTCATCTCATCATTTCATTTTATTTCATGATTTCATTTCATGATTTCATCTCATCATTTCATCTAATTTCATCTCATTTCGTTTCATTTCATGTCATTCCATTCCATTTCATTTCATAATTTCATTTCATTTCATTTCATCTCATTTCATTTCATCATTTCATTTTATTTTATTTCATTTCTTCATTTCATTACATTTCTTCATTTCATTTCATCATTTCATCTCATCTCATCTCATCATCTCATCTCATCTCATTTCATTTCATCATTTCATTTCATTTCATCTCATTTCATCATCTCATCTCATTTCATCATTTCATCACATTTCATCTCATTCAGCATTCATCTTATTTCATTTCTTCATTTCATCATTTCATTTCATCTCATCTCATCATTTCATCTCATTTCATCATTTCATTTCATGATTTTCTTTTGATTTTTTCATTTCACTTCATTTAATCATTTCATTTCATCATTTCATTTTATCTCATTTCATCATTTCATCTCATTTCATCTCTATCATCATTTCATCTCATTTCATTTTATTTCTTCATTTCATCATTTCATTTCATCTCATCTCATTTCATTTCATTTCATCATTTCATCTCATCTCATCTCCTCATTTCATCTCATCTCATCTCACCTTGTTTCATCATTTCATCTCATCTTATCTCATCTCATCATTTCATTTTATCATTTCATTTTATTTCATCATTTCATTTCATTTCTTCATTTCATCATTTCATCTCATCTCATCTCATTTCATCTCATCTCACCTCGTTTCATCATTTCATCTCATTTTATCTCACCTCATCATTTCATCTCATTTCATTTCATCATTTCATTTCATCATTTCATTTCATTTCTTCATTTCATTTCTTCATTTCATTTCTTCATTTCATTTCATTTCATCATTTCATCTCATCTCATCATCTAATCTCATCTCATTTCATTTCATCATTTCATTTCATCTCATCTCATCTCTTTCATCATTTCATCTCATCTCATTCATTTCATCTCATTTCATTTCTTCATTTCATTT